TAGTTTATTTTAAATATAAATAGATTTTCTTTTTTTTGTAGATTAGGTGTATTAGGCCTCCTATGGGGATTACCATTATTATTTTTTTGGGGGGGGAAATATAAAGTTCAAATTTAAAAAGATCTATTTCTGCCACTGAATAGCATATTATATTTCTATTTTATATATGGACTGGGACTACTGTAAACTTTGCAAATGAGATGATGTTGCAGTCTGCCAATAATAGTTATGGCTTATACAAAGCCCAGAGACTGGTATTTTCTTATGGCTCTACATGCTACGAAACAAAGTATGAAAGTACAGCCTTAAAATTGCCCAGTAATCTTCCTCATGGCCCAGTTTTGTTAGATGGCAGACATCAGTACTTGGCAGTATTAAAGCTGTTTTCATCACCCAAAGGTGCTCCTCCTCTATCATCTTTGGATAAAGATAAAGAAATTGACCTTGAATTACTGCAAGACCTGATGGAAGTTGATATTGATCCTTTAGATATTGATTTGGAGAAAGATCCCCTCGCAGCTAAAGTCTTCAAGGTATGGCATGTAACTATTATGAAACGTTTTAATTTTTTTTAATGTCTGCATGATTTCATACTCATGACCACAGTCATTTTATGCCTAATAAAAATGTATACGTTTTTTAGTTTATTTGTACAATGCTGTTTAGTTTGTGAAAAATGAAGAATATTCAGCTAAACCCTTCACTATGGGTTCTGTAATTGCTGCCTCTTTACGAGCTGCAAGATTGCAGGATGTATTCCTTCTTTTCAATGTTCACTGAATAACTGACCTAGAAGTTTTAACTTTGCTGGCTGCTGTCTTTTTTTGGGTGAGGTACTTAGTGGTGCAGGCAGTCATGAGGACCAACCTGATAAAGTTCTTATTTTAAAAAATATTGGAAGGCAAAGAGTTTATGTATCTGTGATGACATGTTAAATTTAAGTTTTGTGGCCTTAAAAGGCTACTGCTGTCAAACACAATTTAAGTGGGCCCAATTGAGCTGAAATCTGTTTGGGATGGAGTTGCCCTGTTAACATGTTAATCCATAAATCAGTCATTTGTACATTTTGAAATGGGTTATGATTCTTTTTCTTTCTTTGAGATATTCAGCCTTTCAAATTTGTGGTATATGCCCTACCTAAAAGACGTTGGACACAAATAAGACTAAGTTGCCTCTCCACTGTGGGCTGTACCCCAGCCCAAAGCACTGGGTCTTCAATGTTTACTAGGCCGAATGTCTTGCTCAGTATCTCTAAATGGGAGATACTTGTGACCTTACAGGATCGGTCTTCCTTGGTTAGCTTAGGTTTGGTATTTTTCTTTTTTTGTGTAGTCTTTCTGAAAGCTGTTTAACCACTTGCTGACCGGGGTGTTTACACCCCCTTCCTGTCCAGGCCATTTTTCAGTATTCAGAGCTGCGGCGCTTTGACTGACGTTTATTCCGTCATGCAACGCTGTACTGAAATGATTTTTATACCATTTTTTGGGGGACAGATGTGGCTTTTTTTTGGTGGTATTTAATCACCACTGGGGTTTTTATGTTTTACTATATAACAAAAAAGTACCGAAAATATTTTTTTAAAAATGGTTTTCCCTTTATTATTTTAGGAAACATTTATTTTTACCCAATTTTTTGGTAAAATAGAAAAGGCGGGATCGCGTCAGGTAAATAGACACCAAACATGTCAAGCCTTAAAATTGCGAGCGCCCGCGAAATCGCAAAAAACACCATAGCCAAAATTGGTCGTATGCGACGCTTTAAAAGATTTTACCGCTCATCAGTTTAGTGTTATCAGTGATTGCCCTAAAATTATTGCTCTCATTGCGACGTTTGCGGCGATATGTAACACGTGCAGCATAATTGGAGCAATCGTCGTTTTCGCGTCTAGGCGCATCTAACGCATTATTGTGCATCTATGTGGGGGTGGGGGACTTTAAAAAAAAAAAATGTGTGGGTTTTTTTTTTGTTTTGTGCGTACATTTTTTATTTTGTGAGAATTTTTTTTTAAAACTTTTTTTTACACTTAACTTTATTGTTGTCACATAGGGTGCTAATAAGTACCCTATGTAATAAATTACAGTTACAGGTCCCCTTTATGGAGACATCAGTGGTCTCCAAGACCCCTAATGTCACCTAGGGACCCCCAGAGAAGCTGATGAAGCACAGATCTGCTTCATCAGCTTCTCTCCGGTTTCTGTACCGGAGAGTGCCAGAGGAATGCGGAAGTGATGTAATGTACACCATTTCCTGCATTCAGAGACCGGGAGGAGAGCGGAGGGAGATCGGGTACTGATCTCCCTCCGTTCTCGGTGCATAGAGCCATGTTTGCCCAGGATGGATGGACGCCCGTGATTGCGGCGGGGACAGCGACGGCGACACGATTGCCACGTGGTCATGGATCGCCCAGGTGTGAACCTAACCGTACCTTATGATTACGGCATGCATTTTCCGTGCCATAGTTTCAATAAGCTTATACAATTACACAGCATTTATTTCCATTCAGAGTTGTATTACTTTTTCTAGTAGAGCTTGTAGTTATGATGGGAGAGTTGGGCCACTGCCTACAGTCTTCTCCCTGAACCATTTTTTCACAATATGAGCCCGATGAAACTTGGCATTGTCATCTTAGAATATGCCCATGCCATCAGTCATTTAATATGTTAAGGAAGGCAGCTGACCTCATTTTCTGGGGATATCATGTTGCTTAACTAAGACCTGACCAACTGAAGCAACCCTAGATCAGAACACTTATCCAGTGGAAGGCTCTTATCTAGGTGGTGACATTTTTGGCCAGGCAGTGTATAAGCCCTTTTTCAAAGTTTTAGTTCATGTTAGGGATCCCCTAATGTAAACTCTAAAGGTAGGTTTTTTTTTTTTCTGTGTGATGTCTTTGTACTAAATTGCACCTTTTAAGAAAATGTCCTGCGGCACCTCCAAGCTTAAGGTCTTTTAAGCGTTTGTTTTGTCAACTGGTTTTGTTCATCATCCTGAGTAATCTCATCTTATAAGTTTTAATGCTCCAGGTCAGCTGACTATTTCCACAATTATCTCAATCACGGTTGAACTTTATCGTTGGTAATGAGAATTTTTTCCTGTAGACTTTTCAAATAAGATTGGCCAACAGTGTTGTCTCGTCAGCTGCTCTCCTCCTTTCCCCCTATTTGGTATTATAGACCAACGAATTGCACCTTTTTCATCAAAGGTTTACTGCTTTTCTAACATACAGGCCATAGTTGGAAATTAGGTTACTATTGGGAAATACCTGTCCCCTGATGGTCAGTTTTTCTTGTAGATTTTTGCTTTCCTTTTCCCAGGGTTATTTGTATTATGCCACTAATTGTGGGCTTGCCTTGGCTTACACTCCTCTGGACAGCTTGACTGGAATTCTAGCCTAAATTTGTTTAATTGGCAACTTTGTTTTTAGTTGCTATCCACACATTTATTACTTATTTTATTATGTCCCTAACATGCCATCTTGAAACGTTTTTCAAGCGTGCTTGCTGTAAAAAAAAAAAAAAAAGTTTCTTGTTGCTTTGGGGACATCGATCCCTCCCTTACGCAACTATGTCTATGCCTGCATGATTGGTTGTGCTTTTTTTTTTTCTTTAACGACTGTTCAGTACAAATTAAAATGTATTTATTACAATACATTTTGTTGGGTTTAGCTCATAGGTAAGGACCAACATTGTGGTCTTGTTGTCCTACTTCCTATAGACAAAGCTTTTTAGTAGTGAACTTGATTTTGTTGTGCACAAAAAAACCCCTAATTGACAAGTTCTTACTGCAGATCCTTTGTTTAGCTTACGATTGTTGAATTTTGTATATAGTAATGGATAGAGCAGATTTCCAAATACATTAATCCAGTTGATGAATGTAGTACAGATATACTGGTAGCTGGTCCTCTTAAGACCTTTTTGTTATTATTATTTATACAGATAAGTGTAGCTTAATCCACCCAAAAAAAGGGCATGCAGCCATTTGAGTAGCAGGGATAAATGTTCACAATATAGATTGTATAAACAATTGTTTCTGTAGTTTAAGGTGACACAGCTGTTCAGTTCAAAGTATATGCACTCTTCCCGTAAATACTTTTAAAAACCTTTCTGATAATTTTGTTTCAGGTGTACAACTATAAGAACCTTGTTTGTTCTGAAATTTGGTTAATTATCTTATGTAGTTAGGTGTAAATAGCACATAGCCTAGTTAATCTCTTACATCACTCATGGCAAGTAAGCCAAAAGAGCAAATGCACCCCCATTGCTACTTTACAATCTTAGCCTGTAGAATGACCTTATCTCTTCAAATCATTTTGTTTTTCAATATCCACTCAGCTAATTTGCATTGCTGGAATGCCAATCACTACATTTCTGCTTTGTGCGTATGTAACGTTATCTGCAAAACATGCACTGTTTTAGGACTCAAGTGCCGGTTTGTTTGGCATACTGGTCTACAAAATGTAAAAGTTAATTGGTGTCATAGGAACAACCTTTTTCAAGCTGTTAATACCACCCTGCCCTGCAACCAGACCCTGCCCTGCAACCAGACACTAGATATGTAGCATGTTACTAAAACACCAACACTTATACTCCCCATAGAGTTGTTCTTGACTCGGCAATAATGTCATTGACAAGGATTGGTAATTTTTTTGAATGTTTGTATGTAGTTTGAAATGCCTTGTTCATATTCAATCAGAGCTTTTTCCTCTTTTCACCAAAAGCCAATCAGCAGCACTTGGTATGATTATTGGGGCGCCGACTATGGCACTTACAATTACAACCCTTACATTGGAGGTGTTGGAATTCCGGTGGCCAAACCTGCAGCCACTTTGGAAAAGAATGGTACACAGACAGTGACAGTATCGGTTTCGCAGGGTAAGCATTTTCTGTTTTATGTTGTATAACTTTTGTCAATGTTGTCCAAAAGTAAATAACAGATATCTGTTGTCATAAAATAATGCTTGACTTTTTATCTTGATGGGTTTTTTTTATTTATAGTAGCTTTTGTATCCTTTTTTTTTTTTTAATAACCCTAAGGCTTAATGTATATCTACAGACTTAGTAATGCCTGTATTTCAAGCAGTAAAAAAAGAAAACCATTGAAGATTTGAGCTTTTACGAGAATCCAAATATTTACACCTTATCTGTAAGCCCTCGTTCACACCTAGGCGTATTGCAAATTTTTTTTTACTGCCATTCGCGGTAAAAAAGTTGCGCGACCGTCGCGCGATTCCGAAGGCTACTTGGCTGTATTCCAATGGACAACGCCCTACAAAACGGCCCAAAGTAGTACCTGTACCTTTTCAGGCGTGGGCCGTTTTGTAGCGCGTTCGGGACGGGCCGAAATACGGCAAGGTGGGAACGAGTCCATTGACTCCAATGCAATTTATATTTTTGAGCGTTTTGTAGAGCGTTCTTCGAGCGTAGAACGCGCTACAAAACGTTCAGGTGTGAACGAGGGCTAAGGGTTGTTTGGGCCCCTTTATTTATCCTTGGCTTGTCTGGGGAGTCATGAGTTAAGGTGGCCCTACGCAAATTGATTTTCTTTGTTCAGCATGAGGACTTAACAAAACAAAAATCTCAGCTAATTTCTCCAATGCTAAAAGCGTGGATGAACGAATCTCCTACTTTGGCTATTGTATCTTGACAGCAGACACAGACCACTGTCAGAATACTGACTACTACATGTTGGCTGCAGTCACTGTTACGCCCGTCGCTTTCAGAATACAAAAAATACAGGTAAGATTCATCCATGCACACTATTTAACATGGATGGAGGAATCTGTTCTATTGTTACAGGGTATGGCCAGCTTAAAAGAGCTACAGCAAAACCTTTTTTTTGTCTTTTAGTTCTCTTTTGGGTCATATTTACTTCTGTAACCCAAACTCGGCATATTGTGGGCTACTGCCCTCTATATGCTGACAGCGCAGAGCTGCGCTGCATCCAGGAAAGATCTCAACAATATTATTGGCATCCACCCCACTGCCTGATTGGCAGCAAGCCAGAACCAGCTGTGCCCACCTCCTCTCCTGTCTGTCCTTCCATTGAGTCACTACTCTCTGCAGGGAGAAGTCGTGAGCTGAGTGATCAACGGTTTGTGATCATTCCATTCTGGAGCTATAGAGCCGTCATGTAACAGCTGCAGTGTCACAAGCCAGCTCAAACTGTTGGGAAGAGTGCATTTTACTCTCCCAATAGTTCTCCTTTAATAGTCGCTTCCAGTCCATTGCCTGACTTTACACACTGCACACACAGAAGGTTAGAGGCGATTTGAGAAACCTCACTCAAATTATGTGAGCATTCACTTCAATTATTTTATCATATGAAAAGCAAATTTCTGTTCATCTGCATATAATTGGATAAAATAAGTGAATATTCACGCGATTTGTGTGAAGATTCTTAACTCCTTTGTGTGTGCGCAGATGACAAGACAGGAACTCCGATTTCAGGTAACCTTTAATTGCGTCAGCAATCCCTTGTTGCTTATTAGTGTTCTGATGAGGTGTTTTTTTTTCCGATTTCTAAACTATAAATACTGTATAAACTGTAATTTTTGTATAGTTTTTCGGGAATTGTATTTTTACATGTTAATTTTAACAATTCCACAGCTCTGGATGCTCGTTTGGAGGTTGGTCTTGAGCAGCAAGCTGAATTGATGTTGAAGATGATGTCCACACTTGAGGCAGATTCCATTCTACAAGCACTGACCAATTCATCCCCAACATGTATGCATGTAACAGACCAAACTGTTATAAGTTTGCAATGTACATACCAATATTATAGCATCCTAACACATACAATACTGTATTAACTACCTCCCGGCCAGCCGCTGTTCATACACGGCCGGCCGGGAGCTTCTTGGATGTAACTGGGCGTGTATACACGTCCTGGAAATCCCCGCTATTTGAAAAGAGGCAGCGATGCCCGTTAATATACAAGCGATCCGCCGGCTATAGAGCCGGCGGATCGCTAGTATGAGGCCCCGAGACGTGCTTCTCCCCCCCCCTCCCCC